CAAGCCGTGATTTGTCATAATTCTGATGATTATGGCTTACAGCTCATGAAAATCCCAAATCCACAATCTCAGAAAATTAGAATATTACATGCAATCAATAAAACAAGGATTGTGCATAGAACAATATCGGACCTCTGAAAAGTATAAGCATGCATATATACTCAGTACTTGGTCTGGGCCCCTTTTGCAGCAATTACTGCCTCAATGCGGTGTGGCATGGAAGCTATCAGCCTGTGGCACTGCTGAGGTGTTATGGAAGACCAGGATGCTTCAATAGCGGCCTTCAGCTCTTCTGCATTGTTCAGTCTCATGTCTCTCATCTTTCTCTTGGCAATGCCCCATAGATTCTGTGTGGGGTTCAGATCAGGTGAGTTTGCTGGCCAATCAAGCACAGTAATCCCATGGTTATTGAACCAGGTTTTGGTGCTTTTGGCAATGTGGGCAGGTGCCAAGTCCTGCTGGAAAATGAAGTCAGGATCCCCATAAAGCTTGTCTGCGGAAGAAAGCATGAAGTGCTCCAAAATTTCCTGGTAGATGGCTGCGTTGACCTTAATGAAGCACAGTGGATCAACACCAGCAGATGACATGGCTCCCCAAATCAACACAGACTGTGGAAACTTCACACTGGACTTCAAGCATTTTGCAGTGTGTGCCTCTCCATTCTTCCTCCAGACTCTGGGTCCTTGGTTTCCAAATGAGATGCAAAAGTTGCTCTCATCAGAAAAGAGGACTTTGAACCACTGAGCAACAGACTAGTTCCGTTTTTCTTCAGCCCAGGTAAGACGCTTCTGATGTTGTTTGTTGTTCAGGAGCGACTTGACAAGAGGAATACAACATTTGAAGCCCATGTCCAGGATCCGTCTGTGTGTGGTGGCTCTTGATGGATGCACTGACTCCAGCCTCAGTCCACACCTTGTGAAAGTCCCCAACATTTTTGAATGGCCTTTTCCTGATTATCCTCTCCAGGCTGCGATCATCCCTGCTGCTTGTGCACCTTTTTCTTCCACACTTTTCCCTTCCACAGAACTTTCTATTGATGTGCTTTGATTCAGCACTTTGGGAACATCCAACTTCTTTTGCAATTACCTTTTGAGGCTTTCCCTCCTTATGGAGGGTGTCAGTGATGGTTTTCTGCACAACTGTCAGGTCAGAGGTCTTTCCCATGATTGTGCTTCCTACTGAACTAGACTGAGAGACCATTTAAAGGCTCAGGAACCCTTTGCAGGTGTTATGGCTTAATTAGCTGATTAGAGTGGGACACTTTGATCCTAGAATATTGAACCTTTTCACAATATTCTAATTTTCTGAGATTGTGGATTTGGGGTTTTCATGAGCTGTAAGCCATAATCATCTCAATTATGCCACATCATGGCTTGAACTATCTTGCTTCGCATGTAATGAGTCTATCTCATATATTAGTTTCACCTTTTAAGTTGCATCACTGAAATAAATGAACTTTTGCACAATATTCTAATTTTTCGAGTTTCACCTGTAGATGGTGATCGTGGCCATGATGGGCATTTGACACTGGCTCAAGATTCATTTCCTCCCTTTGCATTCAAAACAGCTATTCCAGACAAAGGGAGATTTACTTTCTGGCATAAATAGTCTCAATTCCATAATGTAAAAATTAAAGATTAAAGACATATAGAGTCCTCAGCTGCTATGGGGCTTGACTCTTTTGCATCGGAGCAGAGCATAAACAGTTTTTCCAGATGTCTCTAAAAACAATCTGTTCAACAGTCTATCAATCTTTGTTACTACCTCTGACACAGCCCTAGAAGACGGCTTAATATTAGCAATATAATTATAATGACCCTGGGTGGGCTCACAACAATCAAAAAAATTACAATTAAATCAATCACAGGTAAACGATTAAGATAAAAGATGACAAACTCAGTGATATGAGGGGGCTTACTGTCTCTCATCAAAGACCTGGGTGAAGAGCCAGATGTTTTTGGCTCTTCTGAACAACAGCCATCCAGATCTTGGAGGGTACCTAGTTTTGGTTGGCAGTTGTTGCTAAACAGAAGGTGAAGAAGCCTCCTGCAGCACTCTGCCAGCCAAAATGGGGCATGGGGAGGTCCTTGTGTGGCCCCCCATGCCCTGTTTTGGGCCTGGACGACCTCCTGCAGCACTCTGCCAGCCAAAATGGGGCATGGGGAGGTCCTTGTGTGGCCCCCCATGCCCTGTTTTGGCTGGCAGAGTGCTGCAGGAGGCCGTCCAGATTGAAAACAGGGCATGGGGAGGCACACAGGGTCCCCCTGCACCACATTTTATCTGGCAGAGGCACTGCAGGCCAGTCCTTTGTTATTTTCCAGGCCAGATCTAACCACCCCTTGGGCTAGATGCAGCTCACGGGCCTTGAGTTTGACACCCTGGTCTAGGATCTGGGGCATTAAGGTACCTAATTGTAAAGGATTGGTAAATAATGTCCTCATTATTCTACAATTATTCTAGAATGGATAAATAGCTTCTCTTTGAACAAAAATGATTTTATATGATAATCTAAAATTGCATCCTGACTTCAAAAATTGGGTTTTCTCACAAAAACAAACATTTACTAAATGGTATACATTCCCTATTTATACTTAAACTATACTTTTTAAGGATTTTTTTTTAAAAAAACTATGCTATTCAAGAGAGTACAAAAGTCAAAGGTAACTTAGACATATTCAAATAAAGCAGTCCTGACAGATATATCTTTTAATTTCTAATTATAAGAGCCATCATGCATATTTATGTAATAAATTAATATCACAAATTGTATATACCTTTTATATTATTAATATTTCTGTTTTGCTTCTTTTTTATCTTCATTGATATAGGTGGGGAGACTAGTTTATGGTTACAATGTTCTATTTTTTGTTGCTGTAAAAAGGAAAAGTGAATATGAAAATATAGACTATTTTAAAATAAGGTAACTCCTGAATTGAACCTGACTCTTTTCATTTATATCAAAAGAACTACGAAATAAGATAAATAATTCATGGCACATTGTAACCATAAATCTCCACACACATATCAATGAAGATAGGAGGGAATAATATACTGTAAATGATATAATTTGTAGTATTATATATTATATGAATATAGTTGATGTTTATATGCATTTGTACATGGGGCAGAAGTATCTATGCACTTGAATAAACTTGTATATAATGAAATTATGAAATACTGTATCTGTCAAGACTTGCCCAGCAAGGCTGAAGCAGGTCAGTACATTATAATTTCATCTTATTTAAAGATAAAAATGAAAATGAAAAATTATGTAGTAGAAAGTAAGCAATGTCTTCTAGAATGGATGAAAAAAAAGAAAATTTTGGGCTTAAAGCTGAGGTAGAAAAATGAACATTTAGAGAAGAAAGAGTCTAAGGGTATGTTTCCCAAACTGGACAAATTTTAGATACATGGACTTCAACTCCCAGAATTCCCCAGCCAGTTTCTTTGAGAAGCACTACTCTAAGACTGTGAAGTGCAAAATCATCAAGCAGCATCCATTAATCCAGGGGTGTCAAATTCAATTTCATTGAGGACCACATCAGGGTTGTGTTTTACCTTGGGGGTTCAGGGCAGGCGTGGCCAGCTTGACATTTCGTGGGCACCTAGGGTAGCCCGAGCACTGTCAGTGAAAACAGGCTTCTGAGCTCCGTTTTTGGCTGTGATGGCCTCCTGCAACGTTCTGCCAGTGAAAACAGAGCTCGGGAGGGCCACACATCGATCAATCCTTTGCTGTTTTTATGGCTAGATCTGGCTCCTGTGGGCTAGATCTGGCTCCCAGGCCTTGAGTTTGACACCCTGCATTAGTCCAATAACCTGGAGAATATATTGAATACTTATTAAGAACACTAGTGATGGTGAAAAAGACAGATTACCATTAGTTCAGGACACTTCATTTGCATGATAGTTTCAAGCTTCAGTTCCTATCTTCTAATTTTAAAAAAAATCCATTTTATTATTTTTACATATATTTGTGTATAAAACAATCCTAATGAAGAGACAGGATAAAGAATAAAGCTCCAAATAAAATCTACATATTGATGTGGCTAAAATATACTGTTCTAACTGCAAAGAGCAGGACAGATAATACACAAAGAGTCCATTCAGGATGTAGGCAGGAAAGAATGCTAGCAACAAGTAGCATTCTAAAAAATGTTCCATTGGCAGTCACTGCCTTCCTAAAAATGAGTGGGAAACATGAATCTTCCAAAGTTTCTGGCCTGAATTTTCACAGTGATAAAGAAAGTTGGCAGTTCTACGTAAGCTGACAGTTTATATTCTGGATCCTTTTACTGTTCTCTATTCCTCCTACAGCCATGGACTGGCTGATATTTTTACATAATACAAAGTGTCTGTTTATTATAGTTGGGTGTGTGGCCTGTACTGTGAAATGCATTTTGTCTGTGGAATTTAACTGAACTTGGCATTTTAAAGCATGTTGTTCAGTTGCTTACTTTCCCCAAGATTTCAGTGCTTCAAGACTGCTGAAGCCTCTGCTTTAAGTTGAAAATGTTACACAAGAAGACATATCATGTGAAGGTTAGATTGGCTGTGATGTTGATGCTTAATTGTAACCAACGAAGTGCGGAGAACCTTTTTTTCATCTTTGGGCACAGGTTATATATAGTGTGATTGTGTCTCTAATAGTGTATTTAAGATGTATGAACTTCCCATTATTGTAACTAGCCTGATAATGGAACACAGCATATAGAAGGAAACTAGCAAATTATATTAAAATTTTGAGTACAATTTTTATTTATGTTGGGAACAAATTATGAAATAATTAAGACTTTAAATTTCAACTGGTTTTGAACTAGTATTTTTCTCATTTCAATACTGTAATGGAAAATGACTAACTGAAAAGGTTCAGGCAAAAACTTAAGAAATCACAAGATCAGCCTTTCAATAATTTCATGTATTTTAATTATTAAAAATTGTTTATTAACAAAGCTCTTTGGCAAATGCCAAAGTTCAAATATATGTTTTATGTTTCTTTATAGGAGCTTCAGAAAGAAATTGAAACCCATACAGATATCTTCCATAGCTTGGATGAAAATGGACAGAAAATCTTGAGGTCACTTGAAGGTTCTGATGATGGTGCCTTATTGCAGAGACGCCTGGATAACATGAACTTCCGATGGAGTGAACTTCGGAAAAAATCTTTAAATATCAGGTATGGCTAAAATAGCAAGAGCTGGGAAGCAGAAACGGAAGTGTAAGCAGAAGTATTCTTGACAACCCACCAACCTATATAACCCTCACTTTATGTACCCTTAGTCCTAATTGGATTAAAATGACTGGGAACATTCAGTGAGAACAGAATTACTCCATTATTCTGGAAAGATAGTTCATTATCTGCTAATGAGGGAGTTTTAGGATGCAAAGAGTTGATGATTTTCTATATATTAATATTTCCATGAAAAGAAATTAATGCTGCTCACCTAGTCACCATGTTTTTGCTGAAATAGTTCCTTTATAATTATGATTCTATACAGTAAAATAATTTGTAGCCCATGCTAAATTAATTTCAGAAGAATTACAATTAAAGCAAATTTCAGAAGAAGCCAAGCAAATTTCAGAGGACATTCTGTTCATGTGATGTTATTTCTCTGATATAAATAGCATATTTGAATCATGCATAATTGTTTGGGAATTCATATATAATAAATTTGTATAGAATTGGGAACAGCATTTATTTACAATAGATACAATCTAGTGAATGGACAATAATTTGAGGAAAGCTTTGCAGTGTGGAATTCACACATAAATGTTCTTTAATTTTTTATATAAGTTTAGGCCTGTAATCCAATTGTGGGGTAGAAAGGTGATATCTTCTTGGGTAGAAGAAAGTTGTTCTGCAAAAATTCATAATAAAGGGCATTATTAGAGAAAACTTTAAAAACTGCAATGCAGAGAAAGCATTGTTTGAATCGCTTTTATTTGCTCTCAACCCTTTTCAAAGCTTTTTTTAATTTTGCATATGACAGAAATCATCTTCATAACATTCATTATTTAAAATAAATTAAATATGTGAATCTGAAAAATATTAATATCTGAAGTGAAAAGAAAATTATTTTTCCCGTATATATAAAAAAGGATCTTTGAAATCTTCATGAGCTATTTGTATCCCTTGAACTTCGTAGAGAAAAAAGAAAAACAACATATGAGTCATAGAATGTTTTTAATGATTTTTTGCTGTAATTTTCACCCAATTTTGATACCACTGTTATTAAACAAATTGAAAATAATAACTATAGTTTATCATGGTTGCCTTTCTTTCTTGAATTAAACATTAAAGCAATGTTCTTGTTCTACAGAAATAGGAAGTTATAATGAGACATTTATATAGCCAAACCATGTAGGTGAGAAACACAATTAAACTTTATTTTTTTCCCCAAACCAGAAAAGGAATACATTATTATTACACACAACCATGCATGCATGCATGCAAGCACACACACTTATTTATCTATAAATTGGAGAGTAGACCGAATAGTTACATTGCCTATATTCACACAATATTCTGAACCAGGTTACTGTCCTGTTCATTGTACAATGAAGTATGCATTCACACAATGTGCTACGTTTGGACATTAACAAGGTTTGTATACATGTATGTGTGTAAGTTTTAAAATGCTATGTGAATATAGCCCAGAGAAGTTATGTGAATTCAGAAATGAATTAATTCAGTAATCAAACTGGGCAAATTATATGAGCAGAACTACAATGAGAATTCCAGACAAAATGCCTTTCACCATATACTATAATTCAGGTTAACATTTAGCAACTGAACCAAACTCATAAATACTTTTATATGAAAGCCTACAATTTGTTTTGTATTCTCTCTGAAAAAAAAAAGTTGTTTTTCAGCTACTGAGTATGAAAATTAAATGTTCTTGGTTATAAATTTTGGATGTGAGAATCAATATTCTTACTGCAAATTCTTAAGAGATCCATTTATCAATCCTGATATACTTTCTTCCCATTCATCATTTTTAACTGTATTTTGGCTCCTAATTTCTGTTTGTGTAATTCAAGCTCTCCATTTTGAAAGAGAATCACAAAAAGTACAGTGCTCTGACAGAGTCTAAAAAGATGAACTTTTGAATGTAGCTTTGAAGAAAAGTTCACAATAGTGACTTCCTTTAACATCCTTTTAGATAAGGTTTTGTTTTGTTTTGTATTGTTGTTGAAAATCTCACCCTTTCAAAATAATAGAAACTTTTACCCCCACAAATGAGGGGTGCTTAGCTCCTGCATTTGCAACATTTGACATCTAGCTAACATAAAAGCTGTTGGGCCACTTTCAGCAATTTTTATTCTAGTTTGTTTGTTTGTTTATTGAATTTATATTGCCGCCTATTTGCCCATGGCAACTTGAGGTGGCTTACAGAATATAAAACCACATTTAAAACAATAAAAACTAACAAAAAGAATCAAATAAATTAATAAAGTGCAAGATAACAAAATCACCCCCAACTCCCATCCCCCGCCCCAATGACAGCAGATCACATGAGCCATTTGATGAGCTCCATCCCGCTCTGGGATCCCCAGGCCCACTGGCAGAACCAGGTCTTCAGCGCTTTCCTGAAGAATATTAAAATAGGGGTTGTTCTAATCTCTGGGAGAATGATGTTCCAGAGAGAGGGAGCCACCACAGAGAAGGTCCTTCTTCTGGGTCCTACCAGGTTTATCTCCCTCAGGGATGTGACCCACAACATTCCCTGCCTCCCCGCTCTGATGGGTCGAGTAGATGTGACCGGCAAGAGATGGTCTCTCAGATAATCTGATCTCAAGCCATGAAAAGCTATAAAGGTGACAACCAGCACCTTGAATTGCACTCGGAAGCAAATCGGCAACCAATGCAGCTCTCGCAGGAGAGGTGATACTTGTGCACACTGGGGTCTGCACAAAACCATGTGGGCCACTGCAATTTGCACCAACTGGAGCTTCTGGGTGCTCTTCAAGGGCAACCCCATATAGAGCACGTTGCAATTGTCAAGACGGGAAGTGACTAGGGCATGAGTGACTGTGAGTAGGGACTGTTGGTCAAGGAAAGGGCATAACTGCTGCACAACCCATAGTTGCACAAAGGCCCTCCTGGCCATGACCACCACCTGCTCTTTGAGCAGGAGTCGTAAGTCCAGGAAAACCCCTAGATTACGCACAGGGTCTCTTTGGGGTAGTGCCACCACATCCAAGACCAAAGGTGACAATTCTCCCTGAGCCAACAAACCCCAAACCCAGAGCCATTCGGCCTTACAAGCGTTTAGTTTCATCCAGCCCCTAACAGGCACTGTGAGAGGGAGGACACAGAAATTATGCTGATTTTAACAGAGATGGAGCATAAATTTTACAGAATTTTATATTAATTTTTGTACTTTGTACTCATTACTTTTAAAAAAAAAATTTACTCAATATTTTATGACTTTTGGGAGGAGGGAGGGAGGAAGGAAAAATATCTTTATATAGCTTATGTTTTAACTTTTATTTTTTTATTTTTTTTTCCTTTTTAATAGACTTTATTTACAAAAGATTAAAACACAAACATACAAATATGTAAGAATAAAAATAGAACAATAAATGTATTTCTTTCTATTACATTTGATATTAAGATTGATAGCTCATAGTAAACAGTAGTAAGTAATCATTGGCAAGTATTCCTTATCCCTTATCAATTACCTATTAATTAATAAATAATATATTATTCTGCTATTACTATTGGATTATAACTGTATTGGTTAATCGTATGGAGCCTTCATAATATTTATATAATAGACAAGAAGCTTGAAATCATTATTATTATACATTCGATATATACAATTATAGTATGTGTCCTGGGTTCATTTATCCTGTATACCTTTTTTCTTGTGCTCTACCCAGCTGTACCACTTATCCCAAACCAAATAATACTTTGACTCTTCCTTCCCATTTAATTTGAGCGTGAGCCTCTCCATTTTGGTGCATTCATAGCTTTTTTGAATAATAATATCTATCGGTGGTACATCGGGCCTTTTCCAATATTGTGCTAAAGAAATTCGTGCCGCTGTTAATAAGTGGATGATCAGATATCTCACTTTGGGAGGGTATTCCCCTTTAATCATTCCCAGGAGGAACAGTTCCGGTTTCCACTCCAGTCCGCATTCGATAATTTCTTCTATCCATATTCTTATCCTTGTCGAATTTTTTTAAATCTCAGGGCATGTCCACCAAAGATGGAAATAGGTACCAAGTTTCTCTTTGCATTTCCAACAGCTTGGATTTGCTGTTGAATATATTTTAGCTAATCTAGAAGGTGCCAGATGCCATTGATATATCATTTAATATAAATTTTCCTTATATGGTATTGATTTTGTAAATGTAAGATTTTTTGCCAAATTTCCTCCCAATCATCCAAATCTATATTATAACCAAAGTTTTTTGCCCAAGCTAACATTGGTCCTTTCACAATTTCCTCAGCTAATTCATACTCTAGTAAAAAATTATACAATTTGGATATCATATTTCTCCAGGCACAGGAGTATTTTATCTAATTAAGAATCTTTTGTTTCAAATCCGTCTTCTTTTGCATCCCTAATATGTCTCATTTTTATTTGAAAGTAGAACCAATTGTCAATAATTATTCCTTATTCCTTTCAATAATTAAACCTGAATCGATTTAAGTGATCCCTCATTATCTAGTATTTGGTGGTATTTGAGCTTTTTGCTAATGTCCATCGTGTTAGGATGGAACATCACCTCCATTGTTGAAAGCCACCTCAGGATTTTAGTATAATGGTTTCTTCTAATATCTATCCAGATTTTAATCAAGGATTTATGTAAAGTGTGTTTGGGGAAATATGAATGACTTTTATTATTTGGGTTCCACAAAAATGTGTGCCATCCTATTTGCAAATCATGGCCCTCGAGTGTTAAAATTCTTTTGTTTTCCAATTTAATCCAGTCTTTTATCCACACTAGTGCCGTCGCTTTGTAGTAGGTCTCCCAGGCTTTTATTGTCTTGTAAATAGATTTTTTTTATTCTCATTTTTTTCCCTGCCCAAATGAATTTCATAACGATTTTGTCCACTTCTTTAAAAAAAAAATTGTCCAATAGTACCGGAATTGTTTGAAATAAATACAAGATTTTGGGTAGGACATTCATCTTAATCGTTGATATTCTACCTAACAGTGAAATTTGCATTTTGTTCCACTTTTCCAAATCCTTTCCAATTTGTTGTAATAATTTGGTATAATTGTCCTCCCTCAGGGATAATGTTCTAGGTCTTAGCCAAATGCCTAGATATTTAATCTTATTCACAATTTGTAATCCCATCATTTCCTCTAGTTCTTTTTGCTTACTGTTTGTTAGGTTTTTAACTAACATTTTGGTCTTTTCCCTATTAATTTTTAATCCTGCCTATTTAGCAAATTTGTCTATTTCATTTAATAATACTGGTCCCAAATCTATTGGTTCTTCTATGACAAATATCACGTCATCCGCAAATGCTTGTAATTTGTACTCTTGACTTTTAATTTTTGTTCCCTTAATTTCTTTGTTCAATCTAATTCTGTCCAATAATGTTTCTAGGATTGTTATGAAGAGCAGAGGTGACAACGGGCATCCCTGCCTGATGCCCTTCTTTATCTCAAATGGTTTGGTAGCTTCTCCATTTATCAGTACATTTGCCTTTTGTATGGTGTAAATTGAATTTAGTATATTTGCAAAATTACCACCAGATTTCATCAAGTTAATCTGGTGTTTCATAAAATCCCAGTTGAGGTTATCAAAGGCCCTTTGTGCATCCAAGAAGATAAGGGCCATTTGATTTCCTGGGTGCAGTTCATAAAATTCTAATATATCTATTATCATTCTTGTATTATACCTAATCTGTCTCGTGGGAAGGAATCCATTTTGGTCAGGGTGAATTTTGTCATTCAGCACTTTCTTTAGTCTTTCTGCCATTATAGTCATGAAAATTTTATAGTCTGAGTTTAGAAGAGATATTTGATTGGCATCTGCATCCTTTTTGGGGATTAGTGTTATATACGCTTCCTTCCATGATTCTGGAATTTTAGCTTTCAGTAATACCTCATTGCAGATCTCTAGCAACACATTCTCTAATACCTCTCCTATCTCTTTATATAACTCACTTGGAAAACCGTCTGAGCCTGGAGCTTTATTGTTCTTTTGTTTTTTGATCGCCTCTTTTAGTTCACTCAAGGTTATTTCTTTATTAAGTAACTCCTTTTTATCCTCTGATAGTGGATGTATAGCTCCTTCTTTCAAATATTCTTCTATTTTGTTTAAATCTACTTTATCTTGTTTATATAAATTCTCAAAATACTCTCATACAATTACCTTCTTTTTTTCCAATTCAGTCTCTATTACTCCATTTTTGTTCACTAATTGGTATATTGTTCTTTTCTGATTTTCTTTTTTTAATTTATACGCTAGCCATCTACCAGGTTTATTTGCATGTTCAAAATAATTTTGTTTTGTATATTGTAGCTTCTTAATTAATTCTTCCTGGTCTAAAATGTTCATTTCATGCTTTGCTAGTGCCAGCTCATTTCTAATTTGCTCATCTCCCAGAGTTTCCATTTGTCTGTTCTCCAAATCTTCTATTTTTTTATTAGGGTATTTTGTTTTTCCCATCTTTTTTATTTCTATTTGCTATATATGCTATAGATATTCCCCTTAAAAATACACCTTTATTGTGTCCCAGAGATTCTGCAATGAGGTATCCTGTTTTTTATTCAATTCAAAAAAACCGATTAATTCTTCCCTAATTTTTTGGGTGTAACTTTTTTCTTTCAATAGTTGCGAATTAAGTATCCATCTACTTTTCTAATGGATTCGGTCCTTCCAATCTATCTGCAGTGGGTTGTGATCTGCCCAGGTGTTAGTTAAAATCTTTATTTCCTGGATCTCCTTAATTAAGTCGCTGTTCACCCATGCCATATCCAATCTAGACCATGATTTATGCGGACTGGAGTAGAAACTGAACTGAGTCACCCCTGGGTTTAGCTTCCTCCAAGCATCCACTAATTCTAGTTCTTCGGCCATCTTGAAAAAACTTTTGGGTAATATATTCCGTGTTTTTTTATGCTTTTGTTCACATGCATAATTTGATTGTTATTTGCAATTGTGTTGTAGTCTCCAAATATACACATTCTTGGGTTGCCAATTTCTATCAATTTCTCATATAAAGTTTTATAAAATTCATTCTGATTTTTATTAGGGGCATATATCTCCACTAACAGCATGTTTTTATTTTGTAGGACCACCTCTACCATTAATATTCTCTCCATTGTATCATTATAAATCAATTTTGAGGTTATTTCCTCTTTAATATACAGTACCACTCCTCTTTTTTTCCCTCTGCTAAAGTTTTGTACGTTTTCCCCAATCTTTTATTTTGTAGATAGCTCTGATCCTGTTTTTTAATATGAACCTCTTGGAGGCATATTATATTGGCTCTCTGCTTCTCTAATTTGAAAAATATCCTCTTCCTCTTAGGTAGGTCATTTAATCCATTAATGTTCGATATTAGTTTCATTCCTCTGTCCGTTTACCCTCTAGCTTTTATCCCTCATTAGTTTTAGTCGTTGTTTGACTCCTAGTTCTCACTCCTGTCTCTTCTCAAATGGTTATTTCTTCCCTTCTTTCCTTCTCTTCCTCTCTCCCTCCCTTCCTCTAGGTTTAGATTGTGATTCTTCTTGGCTTGAAGTCTCAGGCTCATCTCTACTACTCAGTTCATCTTCTGTTCCACCTATTTGTTCGAAGAAGTCTTGTGCCTTAGTTAGACTGTCTATTTTCACTCTCTTCTCCTTCCATGTTGCCAAGATACCCTCTGGAGTGATCCATCTCAAGGAAATGCTTTTTTTATGAAGATAATTAGTGAGGAATCAGTAATCTTTCCTCTGCTCATGGACTCTTCTTGGCACCTACACAATTACTTCTCTACCATTATATTTTATTGTTTCTTCTCTTGAGATCCTGTAGATTATATCCTTAACTCGCCTCCTAGCGAACCTGATATGAACTTCCTGGGGGAGTCTGTGCCTCCTCGCGTAACTTGTGTGAACTTTATACATGTCATCCAATTCGTTTACCATCTCATTTTTATCTCTTTGTAGGAGTTCCACTAGTATTTCGGCCATTGTCAATGCTAAGTTTTCTTCTCTATCTTCCTCCACATTCTGAAATCTGAGATAATAGGAGGCTCTGTCCATCTCGAGGACTCTGTTCTGGTCTGTGATTTTTTTTTATCTATACGTTCTAGTTTCTTCATTTGGTTGGCTTGTTCTTCAATTATTCTAATCTTTTCTTCATTTATCTTGATGGATTCCTGAATCTGGCCTATTTTCCCATCCAAGTTCCTGATTTCAATTTTCATTTCCCCTATTTCATCTTTCAATTCTTTTTTCATTGTTTCTCTATCGGCCCTACTTTCAGTGTGGTTTTTTTACATCGACTTCTGGAGTGCCAACATCATTCCTTGAATTGCCAACAGGGTAGCTTGAACCAATTGAGTGCCAGTTGAAGTATTTGATTTCTCCGGGGCCAACATCCATTCAATTGTTTGTTGTGTTGCTGGTGCAGGGCTAGGTAATGCTACTGATGGTACAGATTTTCTCCCAGTCTTTGTGATGGTGGTGGTACTGCTCGTCATACCTTTAACAATTCTATACTCTTCATCCACTATTCTAGTTATATTATCCCAGATCATGTTACCAACTACTACCATCAACTTTATCAATATTTTATGCTTTTGATTTCCCTTATTAATAAATCTGAAATTCAAAATTTAAATTAACACCTCTTAACTCTTAATAGACCACAATATCCAACCAAGAGAGGGGAAAAGAAAGAGAAAGAAAGAAAGAGCAATTGTTTATGTTGCCATTGTACTAATCAATGTACTAAATTCATTAATCTACAATAAATCAGCTATATATAAGAAAGGGAAAAGGATGGGGGGGAATATCTGAAACAGAGAAATTACAAAGAAATTAAATTATAAGGTTAATAAATATCACTTTCCAGGCCAAATTCTATATAGAATAACCAATCAGTATTACTCTTATTATTAATTAAGTATATATAGATATATTAAATATATAAAATATATATAGAATAAAACTATCCAAGCCCAGTAAATTCAAAGGGGAATAAATACTTCAAGAGGGGGGGTATAGAATCTCTTATTATCTATTCAAATTTTAAATACAATAATAGAGACAGCCAAAATAGAAAATATTTATCCAGCTTATTTTGTATCAATTTCGTTCCGTTCTCAGTTCTATTAATCACTCCAGTTACATTGATACAATTTACCGAGGTCTGCTACTTTCAATGGCTGCCTCCAAAGTCTGCACCGTCACTCCTCAAAGCTTTCTTAAAGTTCTGTCCAAGTCCCAAGTCCCTTTCTCAAGCAGAATAGATTCAATAGTTGACAGGGGGCTCCTTCCAGTAATATCCCCTTGTCTCTCCTTCTTGATTTTCTTTTTTAAAGTTGTATTTTCACTATTTCCCAGCATTGGGGGTAGAAAACTAGATCGCTGCCACCACTTTCCACCTTCACCCCTTTCACTCTGGGTTTCAGTAATACAATCAGTTCTTCTTCCCACGATGTTACAGTTGTAATCCAAAAGATATTTCTCCTGCTGATAGCTTGCCCGATCTCAGCTTGCTATCTCCTCGCTGCTTCCTTTTCTTGCTGGTTCATCACATCTTCAGGTCTGCCCACGCCAGACTGACTTCTTTCACCTCGGACTTCGGACTCTCTTCCTCACTGCCTTGGGATCGCAACTCTCGATTGGGCTCCAAGAGTCTCTCTTCACTTCGGTGATTCCTCCAGGATCAAACTGCACCACAAACAGCTATCCAAAGGCAAAAAAACCCGATGCAGTGGAGCAGGACAGAGTTCCCCTGCACCACCATGATGCGACCTATGTTTTAACTTTTTAAAAATGTTCAAATGTGTTCAGAAAAATAGAGGGGAAAGAAACAGTAAATAATAATAATTTTTACCAGAAACCATCTTTTTCCTTTTGTCTTTATTTTACATATATGAATCAAGGAAGAAATTGCTTTTGGTAATATTTGTAACACAGAAACTGAACCTCTTTTTCAGGTCTCATCTAGAAGCCAGTTCTGATCAGTGGAGACGTCTACACCTTTCTCTTCAGGAACTTCTGGCATGGCTGCAGTTGAAAGAAGATGAGCTAAAGCAACAGGCACCAATTGGTGGTGATCTTCCCACTGTACAAAAGCAGAATGATATCCATAGGGTATGATTTTTTTAAAAAAAATCTGGAAGTAGATATAAAAACATTAAAAATTGAAAATTGATTCTCCTGTTTAATTATGCTTTGAGCAATAGAAGAAAAGAACTACACAACTTAATATGACCACTTTTTAAGGCATCATAAAAATATATGGTGAACTGCAATGGAGGTAACTAGAGGACAAGTACATAAGTCATGGCAATCATATGTGATAAAAGGCATATGACTTTATAATACAATTGCCATGACTTAGGTGCTTTCATCTGATGCTGAACCTAGAACAGATTAGAATTTATGTCAAGGCATCATAACGTGTTGGCAGCATTGCAGCTTGCTGTAAATGATACCATATTTGCTGAACCTTTGCCCTCCAACAAAGATTGGCATCATTTGGAGAAGGTATTATTTTATGGTTGTTTTAAGGTATTTCAAAGCCTATAGTGACATTGCAAAGATGGACTCGGCATTCAACATTTTATCTGTGAAGTTGAAAATATTTGCTGGCAATATTATTAGAGATTTGGAATACAGAAATGGCAAAACGATTGACACAATTGCTCCTTTCCTCTTGCAGAGCCAAATACATTGTTCAATTTATTAGCAAGGTAAAAGTGATGACAGGGCTACGACAACAGTTGAACTGCAAGATCAAAATATGGTTGTTTGAAGGCCTAATTCATGGCAGTCCGATTAGCAAAGATTGATTACATAAATGTCTTTATTATATCTGCACTAATAAAGTGGGTACTACTCTCTGCACTATGCATTTTATTAGAGAAATGAGAAAGTCATTATGAACAGTTCACATAATTCATTGTGGATAGCATTATTCAGATCTGCTATAATTTGGACGCCAATGTTAGGGCCAATCATTGAAATGTACATTTGTCAGCTATATAACTTATTATAAATCTTGCAGACTAGCTAAATGAAAAGATAAGTTATTCATTATTTAAACCTTCCTAGCTGATAAATCTGTCAAAGTAGAACAGATCACATGTTTAATGGATGTAATAAGTGTCCTTAGGAAGTGGTATGTATTCCCTCACCCAATCTGTTTAAAGGAGAAGATCTGGAGCAGCAGTGCAGTTCAGGTGAACTCAAACAATTTCTAAGAAAATTGATTGAAAGGGCAGTGGCCTCACAGTTGAACTTGTAATTGATTTGATACTAACTATCTAAACTCATTTTAATTTGACGTTCAACTTGAATAACAGATAACTATACCACTTTTGTATGACCCATGTGAACCTGGATGGGTCTGCTTGTTCTATGGAATCACTTGATGGCTTTTATAACATTTACCCTAGTATACTTAATTGTCCAGTGAAATGAGTTTTAGAGGCAGTTTTAGTTTTAGGGGTTTCTTTGTGCAGAATTCTGGATTTCCCATAAAACCAACTCCAGATGTTTGTAACAACAATATTAAGCTGCCATTCAATACCAGATCTATGATTATCCATAGGTCTCCATACTCATTTAGTTTCATAGTGCATATAAACTGCATATATTTAACTGAAAAATAATGAAATATTCCAGAACATCACAAAACAAAGGTCTGCCTTTTGTATTTGTATCCTGATATCAGGAAACAAATCCCTGATTACCATAAATCATGGAGTTTGTGTTGTAACATCATGACTCAAATTTATTTGTCTTTCCTTGCTATCTGTAAACATCTATGCTTCTCTCCCTGCTATTTAAGATCTTCATAAAACAGCTAGAGCTGGTTATTTTGGAGCCAGGCATAATTTTGAACATTATGAAAACTTTATAATATAATTGGTTTTAAAAAAGGTGGAAACTAAGACCTACTTTAAAATTGTCTTTGACAGATACTTTATACTTTTCAGGGTTCTCCTTCTCTTTCTAGTACATGTCCTTATCAAAACAATTTGTGTACTACCCTAAAGATATATTTATTGTTTTGCATAACAATAGTGCTAAAATGTCAGATCATTTAGAAATCAGTTAGTCTTCTCAAGAGTTGTTTCAATTTTATTTTCACAGAAATGTTGTAAGGTACATTAGATTAGATACAAGAGTATCAATTATCTATAATTTGATCCTATCCATTGGGAAATACTTAGTCAAGGAAGCAGAAACACCAGGAATATTGAAGAAAAAAGTGTGACATTCTAGATTTTTAAAGGACAACCCCACAACGCCAATCCAACATTGGCTACTATACGTATTATTAAACTATATTTCTTTTCAGTTCTCATCCCAAAACTGTTTCAATAGGGATTTTCTGGATTTCTTTCTATGGATAATCTTGTTTGTGTAGGTATTTGGGTTCTTATCCAATATAAATAGCTATGACTTCCAATATTGCATATAATTTTTGTAAAATAGTGAACTGCACAGTAAAATATGTCATTTTGTATTTATTTTGCATACATTAAGTATATCATAATAGAAAATAAAATTGATTAATCACACACCATGGAATTTGACAATATTTTATTTTATGTGTACCATTATAGGTACAGTAATCCCTATCTGCCATGTATTTAATTCATTGTACCATCTTGTCTTATTTGTGCAAATAAGAGTAAGATTCTGAACTGAAACTTATAACTCTATTTTATTACTTCTAGCAAAAAATATTAGGCTTAAAACAGGAAAAACACATGCAAGCATCATAGTCGAGTGAGGGAATTTAGTGAATTCCCTTTACTGGGATGACTCTATGACTGAAATATAAGAAATTTAAAAATTAAAAAAGCAACTGTAAATAGCAAAGTTAGAGAAGTGTGTGCTGTGTAAAGATATTGATGGTGCAGTGGGGAGCTGTGGGTTAAAATATGTGGGGAAGCAAATAAAAGTAATACTATTGTCCAACCAGTCAACAAAAACATGCTTTCCAAAGGCAAACAGAAATTTTTTTCAAAGGACCTAAGAAAGTAATATTAAGGCACTTATACTGGGAGAAAATTCTGTCAAACAGGATTCTTCCAGAGAATATCTGACAGTGTTCTCTTCCAGAAAATGAAAGGAAGTACAAGGAGCATCCATGACCTGATCCTAGCCATTGAGAAAGACTTAGTCAAGAAAGCAGGAAAAAATGAAATATTGAAGTAAAGTGTAACATTCTAAAAATATGTTTTGAAGCTGTACATATTTAAGTTTTAAGAATGTCTGTTGGTTATTTATCTTGTAGTGTCAACTTTCCTATTAGCATATGAAAGGGAAAAAACTCCTGGAACATAATTTTACCAAGAGTATAATATAATCTGCACCATATAGATGCAGATGAAGTAAAGCAAATTCTAAAGGTGCATAGGTAAAGTTCCCCCTTTCCCCTTTAGGCCTCCCATTGTCCATTGTTCGCCAATCCAACACTTTCTTCCTTTTTGGAAAACTGTGCCATTCAAAGCATTCCCATAACATGATTTTGAAGTGAAGGAACTTTCACAGGGCCCAGCTGACTCGCTTGATTCCTCAGCCCTTCCCAATACCCCCCAAGGCTTCCACCCAGTCCCTTCCATTTCTGTTGTCAAGGTGCAAGGAAAATTGCAGGCAGGGATAGAATCCGAATCAATAGTAAATGCTTTGACCAGGAAGTGAGGACTATTAGTTTGAGTGGGGCTTGGTAAAAGTTTAAGCAATTGAATATAATGTGCCAGATAAGACTGAATTCAGGAGTTCTGGTCTGCAGCGCTTCGGGGCAGGCAGGAATCCGCGATCGTGCGCGGTTTCTGCCTGCACTCGCCGCTGGAGTGCCCTGAGCCACCCAGCTTCGGGGCTAAGCCACCCCGTAGAAGGTGGTGAAGACAGGGGAGATCTGGCAGGGTCGAGAGGAATCGCACCTCTCCTCCCCAGCCGGCTAAACTCTCTTTTCTGAAGGCGGTAGAGCGGCGGTCAGAAATGGCCGCCTCAAAGAAGCACTCAGCCGGAAAAGAAAGTGCAGGAGGAAGTTAAGACGTGAAAGTTTTTTGGCTGACTGGGACAAAAAGTAACAACTAAGGTACCCTGGAATTTAAAATTTGCAAAAGATACATCGTTCTCAAAGACTTGCAAGCGGCGAATGAAAGTTAAAAGGGAAAGTTTTTTTTTTCCACTCTCCTTCCTAACGTTGACAGCAAACAGAAATGAATAAGAAATCGGAAAAACCCGCTTTGGTATCAATAGGTAACTAAACTGGATAATTAAATGTCAAGGGGATAATAAGGATTTCTGAACATTTCAAAAAAAATTTTTTTTGCTATAAGTGGGAAGGGAGAGGAAAAGAATAGGAGCAGGATTTGGAAGGCAGGAGGAGATTGCCTAGAACTTAAAAGAAACATTAAATACTAACAAGACTTCTAAAAGATACATTTTAACTGGAATTTTGTAACTAAACAGTAACCCCAGGAAGAGAAAGTGAAGAAAGAAGAAAGTATTAAAAGAAACAGCTTATTTGGATTGTTTGGTGACTTTGGGACTTTTGGAAATTATATTTGAAGGACTAAAAACATTTGGATGGTTGTTTGGAAAAAATTTTTTTTTCTACAATGGCATCACTTGTGGATGAACTGAAAATTGAATTTAAAAAATATAAAGAAGAGGAACAAGAAGGGAAGGGCTCTCTTGGCTCTCTTTTTCAATTCTTAGAAATGGCGATTTGTACCTATGAGAAACTGACTGCGCAACAAGATGATTGGGACAAAGAAGAAGCCATCTTTGATGAACAAGTAACTTTACTTGGGGAAGAAAGGGAAAAGGAGGAAAAGAAAATGGAGACTTTAAGATTTAAAAAAACAACCAAAAATGGGAAAAATAAGGTGAAAAGTGGATATAATGTTAGAAAACAACAGAAAGGGGGAATACAGAAGAGGGAAATGGAGGTGGAGAGACAAGGGGGTAAAAAGGGCAGGAAGAAGAAGCAAGGGAGGAAGGAAGGGATGAGAAGTTTCAACGGTGTGGAGCAAGATGTAAAGAAACAGGATTTATTTAGAGATAATGGGTAAAAACTTAATTCAAAAGGGGATTCTGCAAAGGTTCATAAGATTGTATTATATTTGTATTAGAATGTTAGAAAATTGGACACAACATGTGATTAAAAAGTGGGATAAAATATTCAGTGTAATTCAGTGAAAATTTTGTGAACAAAAGGAAGGCAATGATATAAATGAGAGAATTGAATTAGGATGGGAACATTTTAATGACACAATGTTTTAAAATATAAGTGAAGTGGGGGGGGGGAATAACTATGGAAAGTTTATAAGTGTTCCCATAAAAGTATGATATTTAACTGAAAATGTGTAAAATGTTTAAGATTTAAATGAATATTAATATTAATGATGGATTTGAATTGGTATGGATTGTTGTTTTAATTATATTATATATTTATAATATTTTCTTCTTTTTTAAAAAAATTAGTGTGTAACTTTAGAATGTACTAAGCAGAATCCAAATGGAAGTTATGTTTTATACTAAGTGTTATAAATTTAGGGGAAAGAGATAAAGGCGTCATACTCCAATCAGTGTACAGGAGTAATTTCGTTTAAAGGGAAAAGATAATAGATAGCTGGAAACAGGACAGACAAAGAATAATAAGCATAATGATCTGAACTGAGATTAGATAAATAAAATAAAATTAAGAAAGTTAAAAGAGGGGAGAAGCTATATAGAAAATGTAAAATGGCAATAAGATATGGAATGGTATATAAAATGAGCATGAATTTGAATTTGTGTCTGTACGAAGAGATGTAACCCGGGATCAAGCTGCTTTCAGAAAAGATGTTTTATGTTTTATGTTTTGTTTGTTTGTGTATTATTTTTGGAAATCAATAAAATGTGTTTTTTTTTTTTAAAAAAAAAGACTGAATTTAGAACATGAGTTTGAGAAGGATGTATTTAACCAAACTAGCTTGGTATTTATTTATTTACTTTTCACTTACTAAACAGAACATGAAAACATTTAACCTTTTTTGCTTTTTCATTCAGTGACAAAAAGAAAATATACAATCAGGATATGAAAACAACTTAAATGTCAGCTTATATTTTTGTTTCCTTATGTAGGCCTTTATGAGGAAACTAAAAATGAAAGACCCTATTATCTTGAATGCACTTGAAACAGCCCGAATATTCATATCTGAAAAGCCTCTGGAAGGACTGGAGAAGTTTTACCAGGATCCGAGAGGTAAATGCTAGAGAGCAATAATAAACTTCCAGAAAAAGGAGCAGTAGTGGCTAAAAAAATATCCATTCTTATTGGATCTTCCTAAATCTTTGCAAGCTTAATATGAAAAGAATAAGGAAAATACACAGAATGTAAACAATTTGCAGATTTATGAGCATAGCAATATTGGGCACAATTATTAATGTGTAACTTATTGATCATTATTCTAAATCTGTATTCCTTGGCATAGAGAAGGTTCTAGAATAAGCAATAAAACATTAGTATCTAAAATTAAAGTGAGCATATACTTTATATTTCTATTCCCAATACTGTCTTTGCATATTCTAATCTAATATTGGTTCAACCGTATATGGAAATAGGTGACCATGATGCCACTTAGGTGGACTTAATGCCACTGATACCACCCCTAGATACTATTCAATTTGAGCCAGTGCCATGGATATAACACTTGAAAGTTTTTGCTTGTTAATAATAAAAAAATCTCAATTTTGTTTTTAAATTTTATTTATATTATCTATATGCTTCACTTTTAGAGCTGTCTCCAGGTGAAAGAGCCCAGAATGTGACTCGGTCCCTGAAGAAGCAGGCAGATGATGTTAAAACAGAATGGGATAAACTGAATCTACAATCTGCAGGCTGGCAAAAAAAGATTGATGAAGCCCTTGAAAGACTACAAGAGCTTCATGAGGCAATGGGTGATTTCGATCTAAAACTTCATCAGGCAGAAACTGTCAAAGAGTCTTGGCAGCCAGTTGGGGATTTGCTCATTGACTCACTGCAGGATCATCTCGATAAACTGAAGGTAAAATGGTATTTTTGTTCAGTACTGTTTGCATTAAGATACACTTAACATTCTGATGTAGCTCCCCCTTCAATACCAAGAGAGACTTCATAATTATTTTAATTAATCACAACGAATATTGAGATAAAATATAAATAACAATTTATTATTGCTATTTTAAATAATTTAGTTGTGTCTTAAAATATAGGATAGGGAAAAATTCCAAAGGCATTCAGTTTTATATGCCAAATTATTTTAATTGTGCATTTTTAGGAAACTTCATTTGTCTATTTATTGCTAATGTAACCAAATTTATTTTTATATATACATTATGGAAAAATTACCAAATGTCAGCAAAATTATAGTTATTTTGTGGGATAATTATCTACTTCATAAGGTACAAGAACATGCTTTCATATCAGGGACGGACTTCAAAAATCTTAGCAATGGGTTCTCTGCCCAGTTGCTGGGTGGGCGTGGCCATGGTGGGCATGGCCTAGTCGGCCTCCTGCACCATGGGGGGGGGGGGGCATTTTTGCCTTCCCCGGACTCTGGAGGCTTTCCTCAAGTCTCTGGAGAGTGAAAACGGCCTCCCTGGGCTTCAGAGGCTCTCTGGAAGCCAGGGCCTATTTCCAGCCTTCCCGAACTTCCGTTTTTCACCGTCCTTGAACCTCCGTGCGTGCCCTGCACTTACCTGCATCCAAAATAGGCTGTGTGGGGACTCCTGGGAGGGGTGGGGTGGAGTGGGCAGAGACAGCCAGGAGTGAGATTTGGTGGGTTCTCTGAACTGTGCACACTCTTAGTTAGAGGATCTCCCGAACTCCTGCAAACCCCCAGCAATCCACCCTGTTTCATATGTATACTACTTTCAGTAATTGATTGATTAATTATTGTTGCCAAGTAATTGACAACTCTTAGCAGCCATAAAGATATTCTCCTCAATGATCTATCCCTAACTTGGTCCTTCAGTTCTTCCAACAGTGCACTTATTGCCACTGTAACCAAGTCCATCTTCCTTACTGCTGGTCACCCTCTTCTTGTCTATTTTTTTATCCTTTATATAAAGTAAATTATTTATATTTTATATCCCTTCAGAGAAAAGTGGGATGAAAAGGTTTGAGGATCCAGGAGGTCCTATTTATGACTTCTTCTCGTTTGTAATTTCGTTTCCTAAGTTCTCTCCCCCATGCCTCTGTTCTGTTCTTTGTGACCTATTTCCTCCCCCCCCAATTTCTTGGTTGCTAACATAGTTACCCCTTGACCTTTTTGTTTTAACCTTTCCTTTCCTTTGTAACTCTATTCCTCTTCCATTTACCACACTCATCTCTTTACATTCTTTTGCAACAGTATGTCGCTAAAGTTGTCACAAGTCTTTAAAATGTTCATTTCTCTTTATTAGAGTGCATCATGAAAATATGGTTTTAGCAATTTGCATGCAGTTGACAACTGAATTATATTTCAGGATGTATTACAAAAGCAAAAAATAACCTACTGTATTAAATTATGTTGGTTCCTCTTTTTCAATAAGCTAGAATTTATCTTTTCCATTTTGAAGAAATAGATACCAAAGTCAGGTCATGTTATTTCTGTCAAAGAAAACAGAGTGAAATCAGTACTATGTATTGGATGTCTGGTACTCTTTCTTCTTTTGCCACTATAGAACACAGATCTGAAGCCTTATGAAACATATACTAGCAACAGAATATTTATGTGTCAATTTTGTCTATATGAGTTTTGAAGATATCAGAAAGGTTCTAGCTGAATTCAAGATTGTTAAGAACACATTCATTCATGTGAATATGGGAGTTTTCTAGGGAAAGGATCCTATGGTTATTCTCTATTTTATTTGTATTTTGACTTGTTAGATCATTTTACATCCTTCATGCATAAGATAAAGTTACACTTTGCATATCTTATGACCAGGGGTGGGCTTCAAATTTTTTTAGCAAGGAGCTCTCTGCCCTAATGACTGCCTGGGTGGGTGTGGCTGAGTGGGCGTGACCAACTCAACACCACTCCACCAAGTCACATGACTCCCCAGGGTTTTGTTGGTCCTGGTGTTTTCTGTGGGAAATGGGCCCCTCTCCCTCCTCCCCTCCCTCTCTCTGTGTCCCCCTCCCTCCCTCTCATTTCTATTTTTCTCTCTTTTTCCATCCCCTCTCCCTCTCTTCTTTTTCTTTCTTCCTTTCTTCCCCTTCTCTCATTTATTTCCCACTCTCTCATTCTTTCCCTCCAGTTCTCTCATTTCTCTCCATCTCCCCTTCTCTCTCTCATTTGTCTCTTTTTCTTCTCTCATTCTCTCCCTCCATCATTTTCCCATTCTCTTTCTTTTTTCTCCCCTTTTCTTTCTCTCATTTCTCTTTCTCTCCCTGTTTTTTTCTCTCCCTCTTTTTTATTTTTTTCTTTCTCTTCCTTCTCTCTCTCATTTGTTTCCTTCTTTTCCCTCTCTCTCATTCTCTTCCTCCAGCTCTCTCACATTTCTGTATCCCTCTCCCCTTTATCTCTCTCTCTCTCATTTGTTTCTCTCTTTCCTCTCTCATTCTCTTCCTCCATCATTTTCTCATTTCTCTCTCTCTCTCCTGAGCCGACACGAAGGGGACCATGGCTTGTGAAGGACACAGAATCGCAAAAAGCAACTGATCGCTCAGTGCCAGCCACAGTCCCCTTCGTGTCGGCTCAGGAAGGAGGAGCAGCTGCCGCCGCTGAATGCAATGAGGGAAGAGCTCTGGCTCTCCTGCGCAACACGGCTGGCTTACTCACATGAGCGCGCAGTGGCTACAGCAGCAGGAGCTGTTGCCGCCACAGTGATCCTGGCCCAGGAGGGTATCTGCTTGTGTGCACATGTGAAAGATAGAGAAATGAAAGAGAGAAAAGGGGAGGATTCCCTTTCCTCTCTCTTATCTCTCTCCTCTCCCCTTGTGGGAGGCAAGGGCTACCTTGAGTGCAAATGTGGCACGAAGGCAAGTACAGGGCCGCTTCACTTCTGCACTAAGGCTCCGGCCATCACCTTGCCATGACATTGTCCCCCGCGCAGTTCTTTAGCTGAGTACAGTGGGCACGAGTTCCAGCCCGAAGTGTGGCACAAAGGCCGCTTCGCTCCTGCACTAAGGCTCTGGCTACTGGGGTGGGACAAGGCCAGCCAGGAGTGGGATTTGGGTGCTTGCTGAGCCCTGCATAGTCTTAGCTAGGGGATCACCTGAGCCCCTGCGAGCTCCCAGCAGCCCACCCCTATTTATGATAGAGTTAGGGTGGAGAAACAGATACATTTCTTTGGAGACTTTTGCCACCAACAAATTGCAGTTCTTTATAAACAATCTATTACCATAGCAACTCATTTTGATTTTCCACATTAGCATGACTATTTCTTTAGTAGCTTCCCAATATGTGAGTAATCAAAGTTTTCTTGATGCGATGCTTACATATTTGTCTTGCAGTTTTAAGGTGGTAAAACTGATTTCCACAGAAACAGTATCCCAATACTTGTCAGGGATTTAAAGAATTTGGATAATAATTCTCAGATTTAGCCTCAATAGAAGATAAATTAATTACATTAATATATTTAGTGGTTCTGACAGTACATAATCAGCATGAGAATTAGATTAAAATATACTATTTTATTCCAAGTAAGTTTTTGACCGTTAGAAAAGTTGCTTATATAATAATATTCACTTTCCATTAAATTCATTAAATTCCATTAAATTTCATTAAGTTCTATTGTATGGAAAAATACAGCAAGAATGAATGTTCAGTCCATAAGTAAATCACATCCATATTTTAATGCCTCTTCAATTACTATCTATATATGCAATCTAAGTATTTTTCATAGCTTTTGGGATGTATTAATCGTCTTTTTGATGAAAATGTTTATATCATATCATCATCAATTCTATAATATATCATTCTTATTCCTATACCAATTTCTTTTACTTTTAATTCCATGCTGAACTCCTTTTGAGTTATCTTTGACTATACAAAAGCAATGCAAATTTATTTCCATCAGATTTTCAATTCATTTGGGGGAGGGGGGAGCTTTTCAATAAAGAGTACTCAGCAGTTTTCATTCTTATTCATTACAGATCACTAAATGACCCAGTTAATTTTTCTGTACTCTCTCATATTATTCCTACTAATTTATATCACCTAATTTGAGAATTCTATACAAATTTTCTCATATGTTTGTTTTGATTATCACAATCCACTGAAATATAACATGCAATTATCAATAATTTATGGAATCATGTGCACTACAGTAACCTAATAAGATAACTCTAGTTCATAATTATGACATGTATTTTAAACTTTTAACCTTAAATTTAATGCATGTATTAATCAAATGAACTCCACAGAATCAAGCTACCTTCATTCAGATCTCTTTCCTCTTTCTTTTAATTTCACAGGTACGTTCTGTTTTGTTTATTTCATTCATTGTATTTATTAATTCATTTTGCCATATACTCTTCTTAAAGTCCAATAGCAATCTTTTATATGGTTACCAAAAGGGACCAGATATCTTGTCTACCCACTGTAACTTTGGTCAGTTGAGATTATTACATAATGCTTTTTAATAATTCAGAGACAATATAGTTACATATAAACAATATATAGATATTATCCATATAGACATATATTATTTATATTATCAATATTATCAATGTAGACAGTAATAATTATCAGCCTCAGTTATATCACTATAGTTATATCACATGCACCATTCCCTGCTATTGGTAAGAAATGTATCAATTCATTTCACAAACGTTGGACAAGATGCCTCAAGGGCAATCAAAACTCTGTTACTATTTGAATTATACAGTTCTGGACCAGAAGAGAAGTAATTTCACATTATTATTTCCCAACTCCACAGTATGTGTTTCCAAGGAATAGAATTACACGGAGAATGAGAAAGATTCTTTGTTATGCTTGTGACATATCCTTGCATTGGAGAGCAAACATAAACAAAAATATTTAAGAGGATGTTTTTTTTTTTTAAAGAAGGGATAGAAAAGAGATAATATCTTTACCTT